ATCTTGACCCTCAAGTTTTCTTGCTTTTATTTTTCCTTTCCTCTTCTTCTGTCCCACTGGGTGGGGTGTGAGGGTAAGAGAGCAAGCAGCCCACCAGGGTTAACCCACAACACTAATAATTGGGTAAAAAAAAAAAAAAGATTAATGTCCTGAAGGGTTGAAATAGGTAGATTTGATACAAACTACTAGTGTCTAGTTATATAGGAAAACCATAGCGGTGTTCCAAGGAGCCATAACTAAAGAAAATGCACAGGGAGAGAATGCAAAGAAAATTGTGATGACGAATGTGCCAAGGTAGATTGGTTACTGATGTATTTGGGAAGTAGTTTGTCAGCGTGGTGTTATGATAATAAATAAATAATACTGTATTACATCTGTGCAATGCCCTTCAGTGACAGACCAAGGTGGTTTTCCAGGTGAAACACAGCAACAGTAAAAACATTGCTGGCACATCAACGCTTTTTCAACACTGATGTAAAAATACTCCAATAGAACTGATTTAAGTTCAAAACTATTTAAAAAAATAGTCAAGCCATTATCATGGGAAATAAACAGAACCTGCTCTCGACAACCTCAAATTAGAATTAAAAAAACATACAAGGGAAAAAAGGCTTGTAGAAGTCAGTAGCAGTAACAGCCAAGATCAGAGGTGATCAAAGCAAGGACCAAATAGATGTTTATGCAGTTATGCATGTAATATTGTAATGAACTATTTTTATATAACAGCTTTCATGGTCCAGGTATTTCCTAAGGAATAGATGCAATAGCTCTAATCCATATTAAATACAAATGCAAGGGCTCAGAGTCAGGCAGCAGTGTACAGAGAGTACAAAAGAAGTTGAAACCATACAACTTAACAAGTCCACTCTCATGGGCATTTATCTGTTACAAAACATGCCTTGGAGTAGGAGTTCAGAGTCCAGGTTCAGTTCAAGCGGTTTACTGATACTATCCACAGTTTTAGAGTCTAGATTTCTTGATTCCACTTGATGAAGGTTTTATTATAAAAGAATCCACAATAATTGACTTAAGTCACATATTTGTAATTATTTCTTTGAAAAGGCTGGAGGCACGAATAATACCAGCAATGCCCTTCATTTGCCAAACTACCTCCAATGACGTATGATACACTCGTACAACCTTCAGTTACATAAAGACAAGATGCCTTCATCGATACTTTCCATCTATGAATATAGTTATTCCAGTAGAGTTTTGTAATGTAAGGTAGATACAATTTGAAATATAAAAAAAATAATAGATGAAATCAAGTAGATTTTTTGAAGAGACAACAACCAACAATTTGTGATTTATTTCAGACCATGAGCTCTGTGCCATGAGCGAGGCCTGTCAGCACGCAATGGGCCGACTGTGTGGGAAAGGAAGAAGACTCTTGGAATGCGTCAGGGCTCTGGCACTCAAGGCAGGATGGATGAGTCGTTCATTTGGTCTATTTAATACACATCTATTTTATCTGATCACTTTTGATTAGTGCTGCAGTTTTCACTTTGTACTTTGACTAGAGAACTCTGATAAATGCCAATGAGGTGAAAAAGTGAAAGATAAAGGTCACAAGAACAAAAAATTAATTTCAATAGATCAAACAATACCAAAAAAAAGATATTAATTAACATCTCTTAAGTGCTTCTGATCCCACTACTTTTCCAGTCAGTCAAGGCAAGAATGGAATCAGGGAAATTGAAATCTCATAAAACAGTTTTTCTCTTTTCCTTCTCTTTTTAGTTTGCAAAACTATTGATTTTAAACAAACTAGCTAAGGAGACTAATACTAAGGGTACACAGAGCCATATTTTATTTTGCTACCTTATTGTTCTTTTCCCCCTAGATTTGTTGATTAAGTATCTGCCAAAGAATTGGAACAAATAATTTCCAAATTGTCCATTACTTATGAACCATTCCCTTAGACTAGCTGGTAAACATTAGGCATGTTGTCTGATCAATGACCCAGCATCATCCAACATTGTTTCTGCCCTTGTACAGGATAACAGACATTTGAAGTGGGAGGATAGCAAACGGCTAGGAGTCTTTTTGTAGAAATACCATTTACTGCTAAGTTTAAGAAGTTTGGGGATTTACAAAATTGATGAATAATGCCTATCACAGTTACCCAATAGTGGGACTGTATGGATCACAGCAGACAAAACCTGGAGTTTACTTTGCACAAGTTACCCATTATTCCTTCTCCACCCCGCCCTGTTGTTCTGACAAGCAGTAAAGATAAAATTAAACCTTTTGCAGAGTAGTTTACACAAACCCACTCTAGAATCCTCAGAAGGATGAATATCACTTACTTTAACACAGCTCACACTCACACACAGCTTACAATTTTACAAGCCTTACAAGAAAGAATACTCCCTCTTAGTTGAGTCAGACTTAACCCCAAAAAGTTATAAATTTTTATTCTTTTCTCTCAAGTTTCCAAGCACTGAAATGCAGACAATCCAAGGGCAGTAGACTACACTGATTCTAATACTAATCATCCAAACTAAGATGTCTTTGTTCAGGATTTCTTTTTATACTCATCTCTAAGCATTATCCACACCACTGCACTACATTCGGATATTCTTCACTATTTTGACTACACCATTTCTGGAGAGCTGAGACCCATTAATGTAAGAGTGATAGTTGCTAATCCTTAAGCATTGCCAAGAGGACAGAGATACTTCTGTGTTGTTAGTGAACCAGAATCACTTTGGCAGTCTTTTATCAGATGCTTTAAGTTTGCCTCATTTGCTTTGAATTTGAAAAGCACAGAAGTTGTCATTCTGCCAGTCCTATTACATTATCAAATGAATATTACCATCCAACAATTTCACACAGGGCTAAGTTATTTTGTTTCCTCTATATCTGATATGTGAGCTACTGCTTCCTCTCTATTGGACATGTGAAAATGCATGTGAAATTGGAAAATTCAAAGCAACCTAATATAATAGAAGTATAAGTACACAAATCCAAATATCCCACACTCGAGTTTGGATTCATTCCACACATCCAAGAAATTAAAGCAGACAGTCGCTTCCACCTCCTTCCACAGTCAATGGAGGAAGCCCAGAGGGCAACTCAATCCATCAAAGAGCAGATTTGGTCTCTGTTTCCAAGTACAAATGTCACACTACTAACAATACTGCAGTGCATTTTAAAATAACAATTACAGTCTCTTCACATCAAAATTTCATTGAAAAAACCCACATGCTCCATCAACTTAATGAAAAAAGACTGAAAAAAACATTGCTTAAAATCTCAGCTTGGATTTCAGGAAAATTTGCAGACCTGACCTTCCAGCAGGAGGTCAACCCTGTGTAGGGGTTTGTCCTCCTCTATACATGGTGTCTAACATCCTTTCGGAAATGAACTGTTTGCTGAGGTATGACGCATAATCATGCCACACACACACTTTGCCCAGGTGACATCCCATATTTCAACAGTAAAAAGGGTCTTGGGAGGGATCCACTCAAGCTGAGAACGTCTATTACACCCTAAGGGCTCTCCTGGGAAGTCAGAATAGACCTGCCTCCTAACGGAAAATACAGCCCACTGATTTCTACATTTAGACATTAATACTACTTTCATGCATTTTCTTTTATTATAGAAATCCTACCCACCTGAAAGTCGATTGAGGATATCCAGTTTGCTTTTGCCGAAGGCACTAGGTGGCACTGTGTTCTGTCTTTTGTGGCACTGCTCACCCTCAATCTGCTAAAGTCTGCCCAGGTTTCACCAATTTATACTCTCTTGCCAATCACTGCTAGCACGTTAGCAAAAAAGATTCATCAGTACTCATCATTATGCTTAGTCATCCATCTCTAAGCTTTTTTCTATCCATCAAAATGGCCAGGGCTATTGAACTCAACATCATACTTACTTTGCCTGCCTAAAAACATGGCTTTCCTCTAGTTCCATTTAGAATTAAAAACTTCGTTTCCATTTAGAATGGAAAAGAAAAAAAACTGAAGTGCTGATTGCTCAACACCACAACAAAGCAAGCACAAATACCCAGCCCTGTATAAAGACTCATTGGCAGTCTTTTCTTCTAAGGCTGCACCAGGAATGTTATTAGAATACAGGACCAAATGTTAGAACTATAAATCTACACTTTTAGTTACTTGCTTTCACCCTTACCATGCAGTTTCTGCCTAAAAGCTTACACAATCTTCCCTGTCCTTTGTTGTTATTGTAATGGTTGGATCAAAGGGCCATAAGCAAAAAGGTGATGAACACATAATGTGTATTTACACGCACAAATACAGAGAATGAAGGAGGTTTTGCTCAGAAGAGCTTTTAATCCATTAAACTGTCTGCTCAACAATGAAGCAATCAGATTAGAAGGAAAAGCAAGTGTCGTGATTTCCAGGCTATTACCCTATCTTGTTGACCACATACAAATTTAGGATAACAGAACAACTTATGTAACTGTATTCTATTACTCATTTTTGAGGTGTGTCTCCATTGACATTTTCTTTGCTTGCATACTTGTATATTATCTTAGCATGAGGGTAAAAGCCTTTAGAAGCTATACTGATCTGTAAATATTTCATCAAGGAAAGCTTTCGTCTCTGAAAATAAAAGCACATAGATATATATAGCATGCATGCTTTAGAGATAGTAAAAATAATTACAAATGGAGTTCCACTCTAACATATAATTTATGTTCAACTTGTGGGCATTTATCACTAAGTTTTCCTTTTGATTTCTTCCTATGTGTGTTGACAAAGAACAATTTTCAGTCAAATTAGCTTTCAGTCCTGGTGTACAAAGGCAACATATTCTCACCAAACACACAACACACAGACACACACACACATACAGCTTCAATCTGAGTTGCACGTACAGCAAACCCGGCCAACATATTGGTTTATCACATAATTTTCAGGTCCAGAAACTCTGAAACAGCTGCTGCTCAAAATACAACGCTGTCTGAAAGATGTGTAGTGTACCATCAGAGAAGAGGAGTGCAAAACAAACGGTCTAAACGCTGTTCCTACCTGTGTCGTCAGGCTGCTGGTTGGTCTTAGGAAAGTCCTTCCTCTCTGGTTAGTCCCCTACTCTTCGATCCATTCAAATTAAAGCTGGAGTTATATTTCCTGACGTGTACCTACAGTATGCAATATCAAAAAATTTGTCATAACAGTAAAGATTCCTTAAATACTATCCTAACTATGCCAATATGCCTAAAATAACTTTGCATACGGCTTCCAATTCTAGAAAACATCTGCTTGCTCACCACTCACTCCTAACTTACCAATTTCAGCCTTTCCTGCAGGTTTAAGTCTTATCTTTTTACATATCAATCATGGTTTCAGCAGTTTCAAGTTAGTTATTTTTAACATTAACAAGCTTCTGAAGCCAATATACACTGAAATGTGGGCATGTCAGCCAAAGGAAATTAACCCAATGAAGCATAAAACAAAATGATAGCATTTACTCATTTTAAGTCAGTCACAAAATCTCATTCTGGGTGTAAAATATCAGGAAACTTTCAGAACTGAAATTACTTCCTTACAGCACTGTGCTTACTGCTTCCTTGCACTGTTTGTTAACTCCTGATAGACAAAGACCCCACCCTAACACAGTTTAACTGCCAAAAGCATCTTTGTTTTACCAGAACAGAGAGCATGACTAGATATGAGTGCTTCTGAGGTGCAACTTCTGAAATGTAATTTTTGAAGGAGCTAGAGTGCAAAAGAGGAACCACATTTCACAATTCAAGGAAAATATTTGCATTCAATTTTTTCCACTTTTTGAAATTCTGGAGAGGTTATAAATTATATTACTAATAAATCCTCACCACATTTTAATACTCTACCTATATGTAGGGACAGATTTTTTGTCTTGAAGCCAATCTTTGTTGTGCCTGCTATAGGATTACGCACTATTTAGCACGTACAGTAACAATGAGTGGGAATGCCTACAGTGTTGGGAGTTTGAAAATATCCAGCCACCCAGTCACCTTCTACACATGAATCAGGGAACTGTAGGAATCTTTTCATGAAAGCTGTGGCACCCAGCATCCTTCATTAACAGATTTACCAGTTTTCCACCCCTCAACAGGAATATTTTTTTGGCACTTCTCTCTCTCGTATAAATTATTCCTAATTAATTAAAATGAAATTCTTAAGATGTGTGAGTTCATTAACTCCTTTAATGAGAAAGAACATTTTGGACCTTATTATTAGACTGTCATCAGTATCTGTTAGACAGTTAAATTAATAAAGTGATTATATTCAAATAACTCAGGCATTTGCATTTTATTTTTAACATTACATGTCTCTCTTACTTGCTCGGAGACTGGGGAAATTTTGCTGGTCATGTAAAAGTACAGTCTGGGTGGGTTTCAGTGTATTGCATGCCTGGATCTTTAAATATATTTAGGGGTCAGAATAGCTGTGGTCTGGGAGAGGTCTACTTCAGGTCTACTGGAGCCTCAAGGAATGATTCAAGCAAGCAACTACAGTAAAGACATGCCTTAAAAAATAAAGATATTGTGGTCCCTTTATTGTTAGAAAGCAAAAAGCTTGCAAGAAAGGTAGAGAGAATGGACATTTTGTATCCTTGAAAGCATCAAGATAAAGCAAGACACAGCAATAATTTGCTCTCGTACTACACTCTCTGTATACTACTGACAGGCTGCGGAAATATATCCACTGGCTAAAAGCAATATACAAGGTGGAACTAGAGCTCCAGATGTCTCCTATTCTTGTGAAAACCCATGGGTGTTTTGTAATGATCTCGTCATGCATCTTTCTCAAAAGTGATTCTCCAGCTATGCAGTAGCCCTTTAAGGCTTTTCTGGGACACTGATTCAGTCAAGGCATAGAGAAGAGACACACAGCCTGAGTTCAAAAAGAGAAAAGCCACTACTTTGAAAATCATGTCAGTCAGGTGAAAAAAAACCCAACTAGTACCAGTTAAAACATTAATTTATAGATCATCTTAACCCATAAAATCTACATCTTATTTTTAATAACAGTTGTCTGCTTTATACATATCTCTGCAAATTGAAATGTCAGAACTGAAAGCTTTGCTCCCAAACATTATTCGGTAGACAATGCAAGCATCTTTTATCCCCCAACTCCTCAGCACTGAAAGAAAAACATAATGACTTTTCTTCTTCTTTCTATTCTTCCCAAGTCATAAACTTCACAACAATCAATAATAACAAGAAATGAAAAACACATATCCCGTCTGGCTCCTGCATGAACCGAATTATATTTTAAATTTTGTAATCTTTAAAGTCAAACAAGATAAACTGCTGCTTCTTAAGAGGCTGTTAGATTTACCATAGCCACATGGAAAGAAAATACATGAGTGAGATTTGTTGCTCAACAGACAAGTACAAAGGAGGAAATTGGAAGATTTTTTTCAATTTAATTAAGAAATGTTTGTGTGTCTCAGGCACTGGTGCCTTCTAGACAAGTGCAGCTGATGAGGAATTTAAAGCACTGCTTCTTCAACTAAGCCTGCTTCAATTACAGAACTCACACATTTACAAAGAGAAATTTAGTTGAAAAAAAGTGTAACACCTGTACAACTGTTTAAATATTTATGGACAGCTTATTTCTTTCTTTGAGGCTTCAGATAGCTGCACAATTGAATACCACAGCAATTACATTAAGATTCATCCCAGAGATAATGATTGAAATTAAGTTATGCACGTCAGAGCTGTCATCATTTGGAAGTAGTACTGGATACTTTGCCTTGAAACAGTGCTCTTGATCACTGTGAGGATACACACATCTCGTAAGAGCTCTCTTTGAGTGGAGTGGGGGACGAATGTCCACGGAGAACACCGCCAGTGGTACCTCTGCCCTATACCCATCTCTCACATGAGCATCCTTCCATTCCATTCCATTCCATTCCATTCCATTCCATTCCATTCCATTCCATTCCATTCCATTCCATTCCATTGTTGATTTAATCATAGCAAAAAAAAATAACAACTCATGTGTGTGGCAGGTTCACACTGCCACATTGAAATGCCTATTTCAGTGGAGCTGTGAGAGAGGAGGGACCATGCAAGCATTGTGTTAGGCAATTCATCTGTACCACTGGCTATAATCTAAAAAAAATCCAGTGTGCATACACTTCTCGAAACACTTTTAAATCCAGCTAGATGGTAGCTAAACAAAGATGAAATCTAAACAAAACCGAAGCTCCTCAGGTATTCCAGATGGTACAGATGCAGAGTATGCCTTCAGAGCTGGGAATCAATACTCACAGGTAGGCAGGAAGGTTCTTCAGCAAAAGATGTAAACTAAGAGCAAGAAATGCCAGTTTGCCATTCTGGAAGACTCTGACTAATGCAACATTAACCCCAGGATAAGTGCACTTTAAATACTGTCTTGTTCTTCACAGTATAGTCATACAGTGAACCAGAAATGCAATTCAAGTATTTACCAAAAATCCATGCAACCATTATCTAAAATGCAATATATTCTTCTCTTTGCACTAAAACAAACCTCAGTGGTTCAATGACAGATCCACTTATATACAGTGAAAAAAGAAGATTGTGTGTGTTGGCCTATTTATTTCTCCTCACGTTGGGAGATTATTTAAGTCATTCATCCAATTACATGTTGGAAACAGAACTAACATAACATTGTATATAGAACATTACATCTTCGTTTTTCTGGGGGAAAAACACCAATAGTACATAGAATCGGAATTCCAAGTACAGAAATGAAATATTGTAACTGATAAAATGAAGTGAAACAATTTTTTTTTTCCCCCATTAAAGTGTTGCAGACATACCTGGAGAGAGAGCTGGTATCTGCCATACTAGCCTTTTATGAACTAGGAAGTCTCTTTGCATTTAATAGCAAATTGGGGTTTTACCAATGACCTTAACTCAAAGTGAGAAGACATTCAGTTTCTGTACACTGAAATAACTACCTTTTTATTGAAAAACTGTTAAGTCTCATGATATATCCATCTTTAATTACTCAATGATGAATATTAAGGATAGGCTGAAATTCTCTAACCTAACTAAAATTGCGGCATGGGAAACCTGTTCTGATTTAAAATAAATTATATTTCACAAGGCTTTTAATAGGCAGCTTTAACTTATTGCTTTAAATAACTACAGTTCTTCAATTTATAATGCTATTTCTTGTTTCACCTGTGATAAACTACATGTTCTTATCTTCCTATGTGTATAAGCTGGCTTTATATTAGAGTTCTAATAAGTCTTACACAGTGTTAGTTACTGAGTTACATGCCTGCATCCAAACTGGGTGCTATCTTTCCTCTTCAGCAGGTGAGAATGATCTAAATTTTTACTCTAGCTTTTAAAGCACCAGAGACAGTAACTTCAAATCCACTTTACAAAAGCAGACTGTATGGAAAAGCTGGAATACTTCAATTGTTAGTAAAAATTTGTGTTCTGTAAATGCTGACATCAGGGAAATATCAGGATTATCAAACCATTTGTGCCAGAATATTTTATGAACCCATCAGTGGAGAGCTACTGGTTCAAGTTCAATTATAAAAATAATGAATGCAACTCCCTTTGGAAATACAAGGCATCTCCAGAAATCTTATTTCCAAAAGGTAGCTTTTTGGTGCTTTTGAAATGAAATATGAACAAAATATCAAAATGAAGTGCTTTCACATTATCATCCCATTTTTTCTAGCACAATATACAGAATTTAGCCCAAATTCTCTGTAATTTTTAGTTTGCCCTGAATTTCTATTTATCATATTTAATTTTTTTTTTCACAAATCCCAGTCTGAAGTTCTCCTGAAAAACATGATATGTTTACACAAACCATGACAAAAATAAGCCAGTAATAATATCTTTAAACCCATTAATTACTGTAAGAAAAAGTATAATATAAAGGCTTCTCTTCTCATTTTTCACCAACAGGCCAGTTTAAATACTGCACATGAAATATTATTATTGGTCTTGTGCAGCAAAATTGTGTTAAGTGACTGGTTTTGTTTCCCCAAAACATATCCCATGGCATAACTAATTGAGCTCTAGACGTCCACGGAGGCTTTAATTCAGAAGATAGAAGACTGAAACTTTTAATACAAGTGGCTTCTAAGGAGTGCACATTTTATTTTAATGAAGCAATCCTGAAAATCAGGAGGATT